GGCTGTGGGAGACCTCGCAGTCCCAAACCCAGCATTTGCGCCCTTGATTTACAGGTTCCCAAATGAAGAACCCTACAAAGTTCTGGACATGCCGCTAGTTATAGCTCAGGTGACCCTTTTCAGCTGCGGTGGCTTTAGCTTTGGCCTGAGACTCTGCCACTGCATCTGCGACGGCCTCGGCGCCATGGAGTTCCTCGGCGCGTGGGCTGCCAAGGCAAAAACGGGAGAACTTGTGACAAAACCGGGCCAATTTGGGACAGGGGGTTTTTCCGGCCACGAGACCCGCCAATGGTAAAATACCCACATCTTGAATTCATGCGAATCGACGAGGGTTCGAGCCTAACAATGAGTCTATGGACAGCCAAACCCGTTCAGAAATGTGGCCGGATCAGCCGTGAATTTCAATGTTGGTTAAAATCCCTGCTCTACCTTCGATGCGGTGGCGGCTCGCATTTGGCGGTCGTGGGTGAAAGTTCTTGATGTAAAACCACTAAACTACAAACTCCGGTTAATACTTTCAGTCAATGCTCGCCAGAAACTGAAAAACCCACCATTAAAAGAGGGGTTTTACGGCAACGTCGTGTGTGTGGCATGTGCGGTTAGCCCGTCTACAATCTTAGTAACGGGGATATCGGATACTACCCGTCTGGTTCCAGATGCTCGGCTGGCCATATCGGAGGAGTATTTGAGGTCGATGGTGGATCACGTCCACGTTACCGGCCAAGAAAGCTTGAATTTGGAGGGAAACTCGCCATAACACATTGGACCAGATTCTTCATATATGAATTGGCTGAATTCGGGTGAGGAAAGCCAGTTTATACCGGGCCGATGGACTTGACCCCGACGCCGCAAGTGTGTGTATTCTTACCGGAAGGAGGGGCGGAGCCAAGTGAGGCGATTGTGGTGTATATCTGCTTGCCTCACTCCGCCACCGATAGATTTACGGAATTTTTGTGTTTGAAAAATACATGCCAAGAGCGGGCATGGAAGCTGTAGCAATTTTTTTTTTCTTTAAATCGGCCGTTGGACTGAAGTGTGGCGCATACTGGTGCTGTAGCATTTAACTTGCAACGACAACTTCTTTTTTTTTTTTTTGAAAGGAACGACAACTTTAATTTAATGATAATGTTTGATTATTCCCACCGAAAAGACCATGTTTAATCAAATATCAATACTTGCCAACCGGGCCTCTGGCCCAATTAGTTGGCCCCAAGCTTTAGGGTTCGGGTGAGGCGGAAGTCAGGGCTTCGAACTCTGTCACCGCCGTGAACTCCACCAACTTGCGACCTAATAGTCGCGCGCCTCAAATGAGAGGGTGAAACGTTCATTTTCCTAGAATAATTCCAGCTGCTAACAAACTAACTTTATTAACTTCCTAACCATCTACATGGTCAAACAAAAAAAATAAATAAATAAAAAAAAAATAAAAAAATCAAATATCAATACTTATCATTCTTTTTTGACTAAAGGTGTGGATAAAAATATTCACTTTGTTATTTTTTATTTAAAAATTTATTTTTTTATTTTTTAAATAGAATTATTAAATTTTAATTTTTTAAAATAAAAATTTAAACTTTGTAAGTTTTATATTTAAAGATTTAATAATTTATTTACGCAACCCCTCATGTGACCCAATGGTGGTCATACAGTCAATTGAGCAGCAGGTAAAATGCACCTAATTTCAAGTTTCGACCCTCCCTAATAACAATAGATGTTAAAAAAAAAAAAGATTTAACGAATTACAATACCATTGGAAGGTTCATAATTTTTTGCTTAAGGGGGATAATAAAGGTTTAATTTGACAACACTATTTAGTATTATTTTATAACTGTAACGGTTAAAAGTGCTATGTTATATTATCACAAAAAGTATTTTAACGTTTGATAATTATATTTCAAAATAATTACCTAGTATAAAACTATTCAATTAGACATATTATTATTTAAAAATAAATTAATTAATAATTTAATATATAATATATGAAAAATAATTTAAAAACTTTATTAATTTTGGATAAAATAATTTTTTTATA